GGGGGGGGGGATGAGTGGGTGGGTGAGAAACGGTGTGTGTGTGTGTTTGTGTGTGCGCAGGCGCGTCCTGGTGAGGTGATGGATGGGCGCTACAAGGTCCTGCAGGAGTGTGTGGGCAAGGGCGTCTTCTCGTCCGTCGTCAAATGCCTAGACACCGTCGAGTAAGTCACACACACACACAAAACACACACACACGCACACACACACACACACACACGTGTCACAGTCCTGTGTGTGGATGGATGGCTGGCTGGCTGCAGTGGCGTGGAGGTGGCGGTCAAGGTGATCCGCAACAACGAGATGATGCGACAGGCGGCCAAGAAGGAGATGGACATCCTGCGGCAGCTCAACTCGGCGGACAAGGACAACAAACGGCACGTCATCCGGCTGCTCCGCGAGTTCGACTTCAGGGGCCACCTGTGCCTCGTCTTCGAGTGGATGTGGGGCAACCTCAGAACCGCCGTCAAAAAGTAACGACGACACACACATGACATGCGGGGGGAGAGGAAAAGGCTTGTGTGGTGTGGTTGCCATTTGTTTCGAAGCCCTCTCTCTCTCTCTCTCTGTGTGTGTGTGTGTGTGTGTGTGTCAGGTACGGCCAGGGTGGCGGATTGAACGCCCATGCGGTGCATTCGTATACCAAGCAGCTGTTCATCGCTCTCAAGCACCTGGCCAAGCAGAAGATCATGCACTCTGACTGTAAGACAACCTATGTCCCCTCATCTCTCTCTCCGTGTGTGTGAGTGTGTGAGTGTGTGTGTGTGTGTGTGCAGTGAAGCCCGACAACATTCTGCTGAACGAGCGCTTCTCGAGCATCAAGATCTGCGACCTCGGCAGCGCATCAGACGTATCCGAGAACGAAATCACTGGTAGGTACCTCCGTCCGTCACTCACCTGACAAACCACCACAGCCTGTGGGAAGGAACGTCTGATTGACGCGATGCATGGCATGTGTGTTGGTGTTCATGTCATGGTGTGCAGCCTATCTGGTGGGTCGTTTCTATCGCGCGCCCGAGATCATCTTGGGTTGCAAGTACGACTCCCAGATCGACGTGTGGAGCGCCGCGTGCACCGTCTTCGAGATGGCCACCGGCATGTGGCTCTTCCCGGTATGTCTGTAGTACTGAGACACCTGAACCATACACACACACACACAAACACGCACACAGAGAGGGAGTTGTGTGTGTGTGTGAGTTGTGTAGGGCCGTTCGAACAACGACATGTTGAAGCAGATAATGGACTACAAGGGCAAGTTCCCCAAGTCGATGATCCGCAGCGGCAAGCTCGCCGTCCCCACCCACTTCACAGAAGGACCGGACTACGACTTCCTCTACCGGGATAGGGACCCCTTCACCAAACAGGTCGGTCTGTGGGTATGGATGCATACCATCGGCCGGCCATGACGTGACGCAGACGTGTGTGGCTACTTTTCATTGATTGTGCTTCTCTCTCTCTCTCTTTCTCTCTCTCTCTGTGTGTGTGTGTGTGTATGTAGGTACGTGTTGCTGCAGCAGCGAAGCGGCAAGATGGGATGATGGAATCATAATTAAGGAGTGTGTGCGCCACTGCACTCCTCCCTGCAACCACACACACACACCAACACACACACACACCAACACACACACACACCAACACACACACCATCGATTCTGTATTGTATGTGTGTGGGCGTTGTGTTGTGTGTGATGTGTGCTGCAGGAGGTGACGCGAGTGCTGCACAACTGCCCCCAGACCAAAAGCATGGGCGACATTCTCATGCAGAAAACAAACCTCCAAGGTATACCATTCAGCAACGCAACCCCTCACCCCCTCCTCCCCAAAAAATGAATGAGACGGACACTCTTCTCGCCCCGCCCCTCTCTCTGTCTGTCTGTGTGGGTGTAGGCAATGCGGCCAAAGTGGCTTTGTTGAAGCGGAAGGTGAAGCAGCTGGGTGATTTGCTGGAGAAGTGCACGGCTTTGGACCCCGCCAAGCGGCTGCGACCCCACGAGGCCCTCGACCACCCCTACCTCAAGGAGCCCTTCTCTCTATGAGACAAGGACGTCTTATTTGGTGCTGCGTACTTCACTTCTACCATCTTCTACACAGCAGCTGAGCTGTCCACTCACTGAGGAGGGAGGAGGGAGGGGACTGACCTCGGCAGTTTTTCAACCGAGACACATGCAGTGGGTGACCGTCGTGTATGGGTTGGGAGCGTTGGTGATATCATGATGGTCCTCTGCTGCTCGGTGCTGACCTGTTGTTGCAGGGGAGGTGTGTCTGTCGTCACGCGAGCAGCGACTCACTCGCGCATCACGATGTCTGCCGGTCTGTCTGTGGTCTATCGTTTTGTGTGGTGCGGGCACTGGCTGCAGTCAGTCAGTCATCCAGTCCTCACACAAAGAGCCAAGGTAGGGCAGGGCACACCTCTCTGACTCACTCCCCTCTCCCCTCTGTGTACTGAAGATGGTGTGGCGTGCTGTGGTACAGTACATAGCAGACAGGCTACTGTATGTCTGTCTATGCAGTCGGTTGTGGCTGCCTGTCTTCCTACCTGCATCATGGTGATTTTCATATCGGCGAACCAATGCAATCAATGCATCTGTGGACCTCTCTCTTGTTGATGCCATCGATGCATGACGCCACGCGTGCCTTCGCGTGGATTGGATGAGTGAAGAATGTACCCCTTCGTTCGTCAAGGGGCGGACGGGAGCGTCAACATTCAGTCAGGGGGAGGGATATCAATCAGCGTATGCACTGCACACACGGCAAAAGGGGCCATTTATCACATAGCTGTTGGTTTGTCGTATTGTACACTTGTGGGATGGCATGCAATGCATGGCTATCCTACGCACACACCGACCCGCGGCCCAATCCACCACTCATCCATCCATCCATCCTTCAACCGCGCCGACGCATACTAGAAATGCTCTCACTGAGACAAGGACAGCACACACACAGACACATACACACCGAAGTCAACCGCCTCATCGTGCCCCTCCCTCCACAAACACAAACCGCACCTGTGTTGTCCATCTTTGACCTGTTGGTAGCAGTGTCGGCAGAATGCAGCCTCCTTGGGCATCACTCCCGCGATGAAACGGACCACACCTTCACCATACTTGCCACCACACACCAGGCACCTGCACACCCACACAGACAGAGACACATCTTTCGAAACCGCAAATTGCGCCAATGGACGTGGCTGGCTGAGCTTACGGCAGCTGCGTCGGATTGTGATTGTCCCCCATGTCGTTGTCCTCACTCGTGTGGCCTTTGTTTCCCATTGCCCCCATCGCCTCCTCGACACACATGGAGCTGCAAGTCACACACCAACATTGCTGCAGTGGTCGGTCGGTTGGTATGCTTTGTGCTGACCTACCTGGGGTCTGAGGTGGCTGGTGAAGGCGCGGGGGCGTTGACATTGAGGGGAGGAAACTCACTGCATACAATACATATGTGACAGAACAGGCCAGCCATTGGGCGGACTGACTGGCGCTCCCACTCGTGCCTTACCCGTAGCTAAGTTGCGACATCGGCTGCAACGACCACAGCTTAGACCAACCTGCAAATCTGACACACACCACAACCGCACCACATAAATCCCATCCATTCGTCCCAATCCTTCCTTCTGCATACCGTGACTTGGGCGTCTCCTTCTGCTTGTCCACACCACCATTATTGCCTTCACCCAGCTGCAGTGCGGGTTGGGTGCCGACACACGCTGATGATGCCTTCTTGTCCCGACACGGGGAAGGGGGACGGAGGGGGGATGGGAAACCGTCAGCACACGGGGAGGGCGGACGGAGGGGGGATGGAAATCCACACGACGAGGGATGGCGGAGGGGCGACAATGAGGGACTCACACGCACCGGAAGCGGCTCGACGGCCTCCGCTGCCGTGGGTGTGTGTGTGCCGGTGGATGCCTGCTCGGAGTGATGATCAGGCTGGGGGTCAGTGGGCGACTGCTTCTTCTTCTTGACGGTGACGGAGACCTCCACATAGCGGAAGGCCGACACCGAGACCTTGCTCTTGTCGATGGGCACGAAGGCGCGGGAGGCGGGCTTGACCTTCTTCTTGTGTCTGCCGCCCTCCAGCTGCTCCCGCACCAGCTGCTCCAGAAGGAGCTGTCCGCCTCGCCGTCGGACGCACCATCGTCGATTATGCCTTCCCCCCCGCCATCCCCGCCGTCCTCGCCCTTCTGCTCTTATTGGTCTTGGGGTGGGGAATGCACCAGCAGCCGTGGAGGTCGGCTTGCCTTATCCTTCTCATCCTTCTCCTCTGCTGCCTTGGCCGCCTCCTCCTCCCGCATCAGCTGCCGCGCACTCACGAGCGCCTGGTGCTGCTGCTGTCGCGATACGGCCTGCTGTTTCTTGATCATCGCCGCGTGTTGAGTCCGTCGCTTATTGTGCCGCTTTTTGCATCCCATGAGGTGAGGAATGCGCCAGCACTCGAGCCAGTAGAAGAACACCGTCAGCACGCCGACGAAGAAGCATGACGCCACGAGCAGCTCGGCGTTGGAGGGCTCAGCCTCGCGAACCTTCGGCAAGGGGAAGAGATATCTGTCCGGAGAATGCATCTTGTGCCCTCCTGCCGAACACACACCTGTTCGAAGGATCAATCTCTGCACAGCCTTCACGCGCCCCTGGCCGCTCGTAAACTTTCAAAGGGCGAAATGGCGGATGGTTCAGGAGGTTGTGTGGTCTCTCGCAAGGTGTGTGGTCTCTCCCACCACGTGTTCACCTACGACGCGTCGAATCTGCTGCCCATTCTCCACATCGGGCCGCAGATCACCATCCTGCCCGACGAAGAGGAAATGATGATGCCGATGGGCGACTGCCACACGACGGACGATACCAATGCTCTCACCCCCGCCCTCCCCAAGCCATGCTGCGTTGAGGAGGAGCCAGCACCGCCACTGCCAGCAGCGGTCGTGACATTGCCTGCGGCTGAGAGTCAGCAGGAGGACAAGACGACGATGCACCACGGCCCGGATGCTTACGCATCGACACCAGCTGATGGTCCGACTGAGCGCAAGGGCGGGCGGGAGGGCAAGGAGATCAAGGAGGCGGTGACGATGAGTCGGCGTGACGGGGATGGGCATGGGCGTGGGCGTGAGTACGACACTAAGAAGGAGAGCAAGACCACCATCGCACACAACAAACAGCCAGAGGTGAGGAAACACGCCACCACCACAAGCAAACAAAGACGCATCGCATCTCGGTTCTCTCCGCTGTGTACTGTAGGTGTTTGACGAGGATGCTGCACCTGTGTTCCGCAGCGTCGGCAAGAGCAAGGACCTGATGGTCGACTGTGAGGGGGTGGACGTCGATGTGGGCGTGCAGGCGGGCGGTGGGATCGGGGCGGGGCTGTGGCAATGTACCGCTGTCGGGGCCGTGCAGGTGGACCTCATCACCACACCACACGTGGTGGAGACGTGCGAGGCGGGGGTCGATGCCCGGCCTCTCACCACTGGCGTAGAGATGGCCACCCAGGCCAAGCCACTCACGGCCGATTCCAACGCACACGCATCACCTGCCGTGCAAGACGCCGCTGCCCAAGTGTCCCTCACCCAACCGGACCAGCCGCAGCAAGCCCAGCCCACCCC